GCACCAGGTCTTAGTTATAAAATAGAATACTATGGAGTTGTAAAAAAGAAGGATCTCTTTGCCTTTGAGAGAGCATGGTAAGACCTGGAAAGTATTATGTTAAGTGAAATAAGCCAGTCAGAGAAAGACAAATACCGTATGATCTCACTTAGATTTGGAATTTAATGAACAAAAGAAACTGAATAGGTCCAGGGACATGGAAGCATACAGCAGACTGATGATTCTCCGGGGAAAGGGGTTGAAGAGGAAAGAGATTAACCAAGAACTTATATGCATATATACATAACCCATGGAGACAGACAATAGTGTGCTGAAGACTTGGGGAGGGGGTGGGAGTAGGTTGGAGGGAGTTCATGGGGGAAAATAGGGGAAATCTGTAATACTTTCAACAATAAAGATAAATATAAAAAATCCAATATTTTTATTTTTTATGAATAAGCAGAAAGATATTTATATGGCAATGAGTAAAATGCTCCTCATGAAATACCATCCAATTATAATAATAAACCAACCAACAAATATGTGCATAGGCTTTCCAGTTGGGGAGACAAATTTAGCAGGTCTTACATGCTGCATGATGGGGCAAATCTGTGAGTTCTGGAGTTAGATAGCCAGTGTTTGAATCCTCCACTAACCAGCAACATGACCTTCAGTAAGCTATTTAATAGCTCCTTGTGCCTCAGTTTCCTCATTGGTGAATGTTTTTGAGTGTTGAAATGAGGTTAACATATATAATGCCTGGCATATAGTTAGTGCTAATAAAAATCAGCTATTATTACCAAGTGTGCTTCTAGAATAGTTTGCTATTCATTTGACTGACCTTGGTAGCTAGTGCTTCCATGCCTACTTAATTACTGGTCTAGATGGGAAGACGGGTTAATGTGTGAATCACCAGAGGCACTGCCTCTTTCAGATTATGCATCTGTGCTTCAGATAACCAGTTCTCAGCACTTTTTTCACCATTGCCTTTTTGCTGCTATTTCCACTATTGTAAGACAATTTTCTGTATAATGTCTTACCAAGAGTGCACAGGCAAATGTTAAACTAAGAAGGACATGTCATTTTTTCCTGTATCTAGCCAGTTTCACTGTCTGATTATGCAGACATTTGAACTTGTGTTCTTTCTTCTAGACATTGCTTTGCTGAGTGCAAGGAACACATTGTGTTAGCAAGTGTCTGATGCACAGAAACTAATATATTTTCTTTGAATGAATGAACAGAAATGATAGGACATCATAAGCTCTTATGTAAAGTGCTATTTATTCTTGAGGCACAAACTGTATGCATTATAGTATTTCAGCTGAAAATTAATGAGGCCTGGAGTAGAAGACACAGGAAAGTTTCAAGATGAGTTATGGCTTCAAGTAGGCTTGGGGGAAGAGCCGAATTTGTACATGCCGAAGGTAAAGGGCATCATGAGTAAAGCATGATAACATCCTTTTATACTCATGTGTGTCCCTAAGTCAGTGGGTGTTAATGCTCTTAGTAGATCTGAAATGGTCAGTGCAGAGGTGTGTTGCTTATTAGATTAGTGAATTATCTGAAAAACTACTATGAAAGTTGAGAGTTTGTTGTTTACAGGGCCAGGAATCAAAAAGAAGCTGCTAAGGGAAGAAGAAGCGACCTCTACCACAAGGTCATATCCACTTAAACTGGGGATAAAGGGCCATGAGTAATTAACAGTATCCTGAAAATAAATAAACAACGCCCCTCACCTACACACAACTTGCAATCAATAAAAATGTTTCATTTTGGGGAAAATGTGCATGGGTTGGGGTCTTCACAAAAGTTATGTAAGAAGTTCTTCTTATTCACTTTTTAAAAACATGTGCACTAAATAAAAAAGTCAGTAATGTTTGAGGAAAGAATAAACCTAGTTTTTCTGCATACAGTTCCCAGGAAAACAGTATCAAATTCCTCAAGAAAACAGATTGATTTTTCTTAATTCCAGTAATGTAATTTCTGATGCTGAGAAGCTGTTGCTATTAATATATGGAATTGGATTTCCGATAAAATCTATGAAAAGATATAACCACATCAATGGTTTAGATAACTTAATTAAAATTTTTAGTATTAAAATATTATTTTGATGATTTTAAAGGGAGAATTTCATACTTATTGTTTGCATTTTTATACTTGGTTAAAAATTATAGGCTAGATCTAAATTTTTTTCTCATTTGTGCTGTTTTACAATTTGAGAGCTGTTGTAACTCAAGTAATTAAGCTTTTAAAATAAATTTTCTATCTTCAAGGTGCTGATATTGAGGTGTTATTTAATCTTAAAATCAATTATTGTCCATGACTCTTAGATGAGTAATTAATTTACTTAAACCCTCATAGTGATTAAATGGTTGAGATTACAGTTATTAAGGCCAGTGATCATGATCTAGGTTAATAACAATAAAAATAGCTGGTATTTCCTTGTTGCTTAGTATGTACCCTACAAATTTAATCTCCAACTACTCTTTAGTAGGATGTAAAAACATTAGATACTACTACTACTATTATTATTATTATCCGCATTTTATTGATAAAATAATTGGTTATAGAGGTTAAGGAATTCAAACTCAGGCCTGTCTGGTTCTTGATCTTGGATTAACCACTCTGCAATCTGCCTTCTCAAAACTAGTATTTCATGACAAATCAACCTCATAAAATAAATTTTATCTCTAAAATCTAGATCATACATTTTTAGAGGACCAGGACTGTGTATTACAATTTATCTCTTTGCCTATCACGGTATCACATGCTAGTAAGAACTTATATACTTGAGTGAAGTCATTGATAACATGGTCCTGAACTTACCCGGCATGCATCCACTCCACCTTGAGCCAGTCCAGCACATAGCATTGAAGACAAGACTGCTCCATCGTAACTAGTCGGTGCATTACATACACTATTACTTATTATGTTGACCTGTCCTTGTTCTAGTTCTGGAACTGGGTTGCCTGTTAATTACAAATCAGAAAGAAAATACACTCAAAATAAGTAAATAAGTTTAAGACTCTACATTGAATATGGGAAGGAATAACTGTACTCCAAACTTTATCTCTTATTCAGAAAAGAGGGCTATTAAGATGTACTTAGGTGTCTCTTCTCAGTAAAGATACCCATGAGTAGAGAAAGATAACCTTTTTTACACAGATCAGTCTCTCTCTCTCTCTCTCTCTCTCTCTCTCTCTCTCTCTCCTTTCGCTTTGTGATGCCACTTAGAATTTAAAAACAAAAAAATAAATCTGCCATCTTAAAATTGACCAGTAGCATTTAAATTATCTACTGACTGACTTTGAATTGGAAAATTACATGTTGAATAACCTTTAATCTAGAAACAAAAGAGAAACTAGTCTGTTTTCAAGGCTAAAGAACTAATTTATTTTATATTGATGGTCCGTCAAAAAACAATGCCATTTTTGTGATTCGCACAAATTTTTATATACTACACCAAATCACATTGGACTATCAGAACACAATAAAATATTTTCCTGGACAATTAAATCTTTGTGTTATTCTGGAGAGATATCTACAACATGGGTAAATCCCATGAAAATTGTTAATGCTATCTTTCCACTCCTCAGCTGATGATACTCTTATTTTCTCCTTGGCCCTATTTGCTTCCTCATATTGCCCTCATATTTATTTCCATTTTATTCATTCAATAAATAAATCTGAGCAATATTTATGTATATCTAGAGTGTCTTGCTTGAGGCAGGATTTATTTCATCTCAGAATACCTTAAATGGCTATTAATACCTTAAAGCAGGGGTCCTCAAACTACGACCCGCGGGCCACATGCAAATACAAATATTGTATTTGTTCCCATTTTGTTTTTTTACTTCAAAATAAGATATGTGCCGTGTGCATAGGAATTTGTTCATAGTTTTTTTTTAAACTATAGTCCAACTTTCCAACGGTCTGAGGGACAGTGAACTGGCCCCCTGTTTAAAAAGTTTGAGGACCCCTGCCTTAAAGGGTGTTAAAACCCTTAAATAATATCTAGCCAAATTCTCTTTTAAAAAATGTTATTTTATTTTTCTTCTTATAAGGGAGCCATTTGAGTAACATGGAGTCTCTGCGTCATTGAAAAATTCATGTATTTTCATCACTTTATCTTGTATTTCCCTATGAAGAACTCATGCTTCTTTATCACCTTATTTTACATTTTCCTGTGCATTTGGGAATTCTCCATAGTAGCTAGGGGCATTGCTTTGCTTTGCTGAGGGAACTCAGGAATAACTACAGTTTAGACTGACCAGAATATAGTATGGCTATGTTTGTAGAATCCATCTTTCAGGTGCTCCCTAATTTAAAAAGATTATATAATAGCAAGTACCAAGAGATTTTTTATTTTTTCCTGAGATACTTACTGTCATATGCTCGTGATCCCCATCCTGTTACATAAGCAGTGGAACCAGGTACAATATTCTGGGTAGCCTCTGGGAGACATACCGTATGGATATTTTTGGTAAAGGTGACACCTTCTGCAAGCTTCACAAGTGCAATATCATTTTCATGAGTTGCAGAGTTATAATTGTTATGGATCAAAATAGTATTTACTGCTTTTCTCATTACAGGAAATGCTGTGGAAATACCAAAGGTGACAGTCCATCTACGAGGATCAGAGTAGCTAAAAAAAAAAGAGAGAAAGAAAGAAAGAAATCATGGATTTGAATAGGGAATTTGAAAACATGTTAAATATTTGGATTTTGTGTTTTTTACCCTCACCACCACTGAGAAACTGTTTGGTCAACCCCTCTTTGCTATATATTTCTGTATCACATAGCTAGCAGTTGAGTTGAACTCTTCACTGACACAATAAAGAAACATAGAAAGATTTTAGAAAATATATCTTAGGTTGGTGAAATCTCAGTAAGAATATTCTGATGCTTTGATATGCCTTCATTGATGTTTCTCTTTTCTACATCCTCCTATCCAAACAACTAAGAAGTCTGAAGGACTCTCCACTTTAGTTTTAACTCATTTCTTCCATCTGTATTTTTTCCTTGCCTTGCCTTTAGCCAAAAGTTCTATATAAATAGTAGTTATGAAAAGGGGCTCACATCTTATTAGTTAATGAATGATTTTTCTGTACTGTGAGGCTTGTTGAAGATTTCTGTGTACATGTGTACAATGTGTGTGTGTGTGTGTGTGTGTGTGTGTGTGTGTGTGTGTCTGTGTTTAGAGAGAGCGAGGGGGGGCAGGTGAAACCACTCACTAATATAAAAAAAAATCTGAGGCATTATCTTTGTGACCTAGAAATTTGGATTTCTTAGTGAAACTCCCAAAACACAGACCATAGGTTAATAATGGATGAATTTCATGGAATCAAATTTAAGTATACTATTGACAAGTTTACTAGATGGATGAGAAACCATGAAAAAATACTTGCAGTGTTTAATATCTAAAACTTTTGTAGAATATATAGAAAGAAATCTGTAAACCAATAATAAATGTGCAGAAAAACTGTTATAAAATGGGCAAAACATGTGAATAGAAAGTTCATGGAAGGGGAAGGTCAAACAGCTAGTAGATACGTATGTAAAAGAATACTCAAACCCACTAGTAAGCTGAGAAATGGAAAATATAACAATAATGAGCATCTAATGTATATTCATGAGGATGACAACAGTTTAAGAAGAGAATAACATGGTGTAGGTGAAGAGAAGTTCAAACTCTTTTGCATTGCTGGTAAAGATGTAAACTTCTGGAAAGCATTTTAGTGTGTTTGGCAGACTGCATATATACTTCTGGGTACATATTTCAGAGAAATTCTTGAAGGTTTGTAGAGAGGCAAAAATGAGGGTGTGTGTGTGTGTGTGTGTGTGTGTGTGTGTGTGTGTGTGTGAAGTTGGAGCAACCTACTTGAGTAAAGGTATACTGTGGAGTTTATGGTGGACCAGATTAAAATTCCCAGGATTGAGCCCCCAAAATAAGGAATAATATGAGCACAATGCTACTTATATAAATGAAGGGCACACACACACACACACACACACACACACACACACACACCCTATACATTTTGTAGGTAATTGTATATTTGAAGACATATGTAAAATATCAGTGAGGCCTATGGGGGCAGTGGAAGTAGGATCCACATATAAAAGGAGAAAAATAAGATGAGAGAAAGATCTTGTACAGAGTGATGAAAATAAGGATCTATAAATTGTAGGGTTAACTCAATGTGCTCCTAAAGTTGAATAAAAACAAAATGTAGTCTGGCTGGAGTGGCTCAGTTGGCTGGGCAGCATTCTGTGCAACGAAAGGTTGTTGGTTCTACTCCCAGCTAGAGCACATACTTGGGTTGCAGGTTTGGTCCCAGGTTGGGCACATATGGAAAGCAGCGAATTGGAAGGCAACTGATCGATGTTTCTCACTCTCTCCCTCTCTCTCTCTAAAATAAATAAAAATATATTTAAAAAATGAAACCAAATAATAATTTAATGGTTTTGTGGAGTTTAGATATAGACAGTGGAATTGATACAGGAAATAAAACTCATATATCCAGGAAATGCTTTTATAAGTCACAGTAGCTTGTATAAAGTAAATATACTAGTTAAAAATTCTAAAGAAAAAATATTTCACAACAAGCAAATACATGATTATTTTACATTGAACTTAATTTGATCGGGGTCTTTCAGTGAAGATTCTAAAATATATTCTTTGCGTCTTTCTTCCTTCTTCGTCTCCTTGCTTCCCTGTCTCCATTTCTTCCTTTATGTTTTTTTTTCTTCCAGCAAATGAATAAGATCATGGTTTGAGAACCGGTAAGATTTAGATTTAAATCTTGGCTATGCCACATATTAGCAATATTATTTAGGGCAAGTTACTTACACTCTTTAATTCTCAGTTTATTTAATGCATAAAATGTGATAGGTGATTTTCTCTCACACAATTTTAAGCATTAATTCAGACAAGTAAACTATGTCAAGCATAGTGCTTGCCACAAAGTAAATACTCAATGAAGGTAACTATTCTTTTCACTAGTTATAATTCAGCAAGCCATTAATAAGTATCTACTTTGTATAATGAATAGTATGACTCTCTGAGAATAAGAATATACATAATTATGGGTGGAGTCCTCATGTACATGTCTCTCCTAGTTGTTCCAGATGGGTAGGTAGCTGTGGCCTCACCTTCTGAAGCAGTGAGCTGCTGTGAGGATCCATGTGTTACTGAGCAGCTCTACGCACTAATGAAGGAGGAGCCTAACAGAGATAATCATAAATCACAGGCACTACTGTTAAAGGTTAATAAGCATATTTTTGTGAGAAGAAGGTAGGAGAAGGAAAGGAGCATCAGGGAAAGCTTCATAGAGGAGGTAACAATTCAAGACTCCTTTCTATGTCCCTTGACATAAGATTGGTCCTGCCCCAAACAAATCCTCATTAATGGGTTCTCAGTGACAATCAGGTCTACAGGGAGATGCCAATACAAGGTTCATGTAGTTTGCCAGCTCTTAGGGATAAGTCAGGGTAGTGAATGGAAGGATTTGGGGAGACAAACTTCCCCAAATGTTCCAAGCCTTTAAAATCATGGAATTCTTTGGTTATCATTGGTGATATCTATAACTGTGGCTTTCATTATAATTGTGGCTTTCATTTATAACTGTGGCCTTTACTTAGCTTTTGGTGGTCGGATCTGAATACAGCTTAGAATCCTGCACTCTTTCTATCGCATTCTTGATTACTCTAAGTGCTTGTTGCTAAGTCCAGGTATTTGCATTTCTGGTTCCTAAACTCAGGGGTGATCAAAATCAATTAATGCCATTCCTTTTAGGTGGCAATGAAGACTGAAATGTTTTTGTTAATTTTGTTGCTTGTATTTTCTGATATATAGCAATAAATGTGCTGATCTAAATCAGAAATTTGGTTACTCCTGATATCATAAAGTTCTGCTATCAGAAATTTAAAATGCATTCATTGTGTAAAAAATATATTGAGTCATAATATAGTCATAAGAAAATTTCAGAATAATATGGGGTTTCCTAAAACATTTGTTCAGAATACATGTACTAATCTTTTTAAATGTTACTCCCTCTTAACTTAATAAACAATTCCCACCAGGCATTGTAGTATGAGGCAGTCCATCAAATCTGTAAAGG